AGAATAATTAGGATATTAAACCATACCACTTTTATTTGTGAAATTTGTATTATTATTATTATTTTACTTTTTTATTATATTAATGTTTATGGGATAAATAAGGACTTGAAGTTTTTGTGGTCTGGACATAACATTTTACAAGAAATGTTAATGAATTTTGAATCCATATTATTATACTGTTATTGTAAATATTAATACTACTGATATATGGTTTGTCCTTTTAGTCATTATAGAGTTGTTTTGTGTGCTCATCATCATCTGTGGCCATTAAAAACCCCATATCTGTCCCATGCTAAACACAGAGTTGAAGTTGTGATGCTGGCTGGCATCGGCATCTCTAGTGTTAAGTATTCTGGAGACAAACATCACAACACTTGCTGTGGTGGCATAGAGAGAGGGAGGGAGGGCATTTTCCCTCTCAGGGCGAGGGGTGGTGACATCATCCTTTATCCCCCTGTGCTTTAATGGGGGGAGGAAGTGGGTGAGAGGTTAAAGAAGAGAGGGGGGCGAGAGAGAGAGCGTTCTGTGAGGCTGTGAATTGAGTGCGTTTGGTTCGTCTCATGTGGTCGTTACAGATCGTCTCATTGGCAAACGCGTTCACACTGGGGCCTCCCAGTCACCCCATCTCAGCACCAAACCAGTGCGACTGTACTCGCTTCAGCAGTGTCATCTTCTGCTGCGGGACGCCATTCAAATTCATTTGCAGCCTGTCAGCGAGAAAACACACCTCTCGTCATCTCCACCTTTCCTTCTGTGTCCTGAAACACTTTCACACCTGTGTTGTGTTTGTGTTTTGGCCGCGTGTGTGTCCTGCCTGCTCGAAAATGGCCGAGAGTTACCCGAGCGCCTGTTGTGTGTCAGCCAATCATCATTACTTCCTCCTGGCATTCAAATGAGGCCCCAAACATTAGTTTGCTTCTCTCGGGGCTGAGTGCTTTTCATTCAGGTTTTGTTCTCAGACCTCTTTACAAGAAATCAATGAGAGTTGTTAGTAATTTAGAGTCATTGCACATTAATGTAATTCATCGTTAATGTACCAGATCATCAGACTATTAGTAGTCTAATTCCTGGCGGTTTTTGTGATGATGATTATTATTATAATCACGTTTTATCATATTGGAGTCACCCACCATATTTTTTTAATAGCAGTAGGTCACTCAAGGGCATGCATAGAGTGATTTTTACCTAGGGTTTTACCACAGTTAACTACTCTGCTTTGTACTTTATTTTAAATAGTACTTTGTATAAAATTGTAGAAGTACTTATTTATTTTTTTATTAAATGTTTAATAGTGTTACCAGCTATACTGATGTTTTTTTGAAAATGTATGAATTATTGTAAAATGGCTGATATACACATTAACTTAATATTTGTGCCAAATTAGGCTATAGAATACTCTTTGAATATGACAGCATAGAATAATTAGGATATTAAACCATACCACTTTTATTTGTGAAATTTGTATTATTGTTATTATTTTACTTTTTTATTATATTAATGTTTATGGGATAAATAAGGACTTGAAGTTTTTGTGGTCTGGACATAACATTTTACAAGAAATTTGTTAATGAATAGTTATTGTAAATATTAATACTACTGATATATGGTTTGTCCTTTTAGTCATTATAGAGTTGTTTTGTGTGCTCATCATCATCTGTGGCCATTAAAAACCCCATATCTGTCCCATGCTAAACACAGAGTTGAAGTTGTGATGCTGGCTGGCATCGGCATCTCTAGTGTTAAGTATTCTGGAGACAAACATCACAACACTTGCTGTGGTGGCATAGAGAGAGGGAGGGAGGGCATTTTCCCTCTCAGGGCGAGGGGTGGTGACATCATCCTTTATCCCCCTGTGCTTTAATGGGGGGAGGAAGTGGGTGAGAGGTTAAAGAAGAGAGGGGGGCGAGAGAGAGAGCGTTCTGTGAGGCTGTGAATTGAGTGCGTTTGGTTCGTCTCATGTGGTCGTTACAGATCGTCTCATTGGCAAACGCGTTCACACTGGGGCCTCCCAGTCACCCCATCTCAGCACCAAACCAGTGCGACTGTACTCGCTTCAGCAGTGTCATCTTCTGCTGCGGGACGCCATTCAAATTCATTTGCAGCCTGTCAGCGAGAAAACACACCTCTCGTCATCTCCACCTTTCCTTCTGTGTCCTGAAACACTTTCACACCTGTGTTGTGTTTGTGTTTTGGCCGCGTGTGTGTCCTGCCTGCTCGAAAATGGCCGAGAGTTACCCGAGCGCCTGTTGTGTGTCAGCCAATCATCATTACTTCCTCCTGGCATTCAAATGAGGCCCCAAACATTAGTTTGCTTCTCTCGGGGCTGAGTGCTTTTCATTCAGGTTTTGTTCTCAGACCTCTTTACAAGAAATCAATGAGAGTTGTTAGTAATTTAGAGTCATTGCACATTAATGTAATTCATCGTTAATGTACCAGATCATCAGACTATTAGTAGTCTAATTCCTGGCGGTTTTTGTGATGATGATTATTATTATAATCACGTTTTATCATATTGGAGTCACCCACCATATTTTTTTAATAGCAGTAGGTCACTCAAGGGCATGCATAGAGTGATTTTTACCTAGGGTTTTACCACAGTTAACTACTCTGCTTTGTACTGTATCTTGACTTTTCTTTTTGATTTATTATGAACATTTATAGATTGTGCATGTATACAAAGTCATGTCATAGGGTTCACTGTAAAAAAAAAAAATAATACGATTTTTTTTGCGTAAAACGTACTTATATAATCATTTTATCAGAAAAGACTCTCTCAGTCTTTCTACTTAAAAAAAAAAATTCATGTTAATTCAATGTGTTATTTGCCATTTTGACAGATTTATTCAGTTGAAACAGTTTTGAGGTTAACTGATCTCACTTTGTGTCTCTGGAAAATCTGTGGCATTGTACTATATGTTGAATATCAGCATTTTTTGGTCTATTTGTTAATGAGGATTTTTTTTACTTCGAAATAAAAAACGTAGACCCTTGGGGTAAGATGGGCCACCCAGAAACGGCACAGACCTAGTGTTATTATTTTTTAAATAAATACTTCTCGTTCTGTGAGGCTGTGAATTGAGTGCGTTTGGTTCGTCTCATGTGGTCGTTACAGATCGTCTCATTGGCAAACGCGTTCACACTGGGGCCTCCCAGTCACCCCATCTCAGCACCAAACCAGTGCGACTGTACTCGCTTCAGCAGTGTCATCTTCTGCTGCGGGACGCCATTCAAATTCATTTGCAGCCTGTCAGCGAGAAAACACACCTCTCGTCATCTCCACCTTTCCTTCTGTGTCCTGAAACACTTTCACACCTGTGTTGTGTTTGTGTTTTGGCCGCGTGTGTGTCCTGCCTGCTCGAAAATGGCCGAGAGTTACCCGAGCGCCTGTTGTGTGTCAGCCAATCATCATTACTTCCTCCTGGCATTCAAATGAGGCCCCAAACATTAGTTTGCTTCTCTCGGGGCTGAGTGCTTTTCATTCAGGTTTTGTTCTCAGACCTCTTTACAAGAAATCAATGAGAGTTGTTAGTAATTTAGAGTCATTGCACATTAATGTAATTCATCGTTAATGTACCAGATCATCAGACTATTAGTAGTCTAATTCCTGGCGGTTTTTGTGATGATGATTATTATTATAATCACGTTTTATCATATTGGAGTCACCCACCATATTTTTTTAATAGCAGTAGGTCACTCAAGGGCATGCATAGAGTGATTTTTACCTAGGGTTTTACCACAGTTAACTACTCTGCTTTGTACTGTATCTTGACTTTTCTTTTTGATTTATTATGAACATTTATAGATTGTGCATGTATACAAAGTCATGTC